GGCTGTGGGAGCGCGCGGGGGGTCGGGGGGGGGCTCAGCGCCGCTGAAGACAGAGGGAGGGAGTCGTTTTGTACAGGTTGGCCATTTATTCCTACTCACCACTGCGCACAAGTTCTATAAACATTAAAAAAATAAGTATATATAAAAGCACGTTCTTTACTCGTTTTCAGTACAGTGGTGATGGCAGAGAGTAGGCTTCAATATGGGAATCAGTTGTAAAAAAAAAACAAAACACAAAACAAACCCAAAAAAAAACCTGTTCAGAACAAGTCACAACATCAGCTTTTCCCCTAAAATTAAGCTATTTCATCCATTCAGGGGGTTGGGGCACAGCCAGAGCCTCTTTCTTCGCCCCGTGGCGTCCCCCCGACATTCAGTTCAGATCAGCCAGGGTATTTCTGCGGGTGCATTTTGCTCATGGGACCCTGCACCCCGCGGGATGGAAGACGGGAGCGACCCGAGCTGGGAATTCACAGGGGCTTTCTTAACCTACGGGAGGGACAGGCTCACGCGCTGGCCTACGTCCCCAGGGAAAGATAATCGGTGACTAGAAAAGGAAATGGCAAGTACTTAGGGTGAAGTCAATCGCCAGGTACCAGAAGAAATAAGCTCGAGAAGTATCGTCAGAGTTCAGGACTGTGTGTCACAGGCACAAGGGAGAGAGTTTTCAAAGCGGGGGGGAGGGGGCAAAAAGAAATCAACTCAACAGCTCGGTCGCTTTTCGGGGAGGGGAAAAAACCAAACAACAAACCCAAACGTGAAGAGTAAGGGGCACACCAGCCTTCCACAAGAAAACACAGAAAACCCTTTCCTTTAAAGGAAACTTCTATTCTGAAGTCAAATTAGTAATACGCTAATTGGGAAACCCTCATTTATCACAAAGCTCTCTCGGAAACCAGCCTCGAAGGCCAACGCCGTGTTCATCCCAAGCTCTCCCTTAAGCCATAGGAGAGAGACAGAACCGACCGGCCAGAAATAGAGAAGCGATAGCTTAAAAGTTTGTTGTTTTTAAAAAAAAAACCCCAAACCCTTAAGGCTACTCGTGTAAAGATACGGTATCCTCAAGTTCGGTGTTTTTAAACGAAAACCACTGGCATCTGTTACAAATGCAACGAGTTTCCCAAGTTTCAAGTATTTAAAAAAAAAAAAAGATATCCAGAAAGTGTTTGCCTTCGTTCCCACACCGCTGTACGCGGTTCATCTTTTAAATTAAACCTGGTGACCCTGAAAAATTAAATAGTGCTTTCACTCTCAGGAGAAGGCAGAAATTAGGTCCTTAACCATGAATTATTATTTTTTTTTTTTAAGCATTTCCAATGGCTTGCTGACTACGAGGAGTGAATAACTCCACTTTACCAGCTTAAATTGCGAGGGGCTTCCAAACTGTACGGTTCGGGCACTGATCAACTGACGGAGGAGGAGAAAGGTAACGCTTTTGAACACACGGCAATCCTGAGGTGATAAAAACCGAACGGCATCGCAGCACTGTCCCCAGCCAGGGTGCAGACGGCCTCTCATTGCTTTGCCGATTGTCTGCCCGGCTTTTTTTCCTGCTGGCCTCTTCCGCTGCCCGGTATTCCTCGGCCGCGGCCACCAAACACACCTACGGGGCAGAAAGAAAGAGCACGGACGTAAGAGCAGCATTGTAAGCCAGCAACATCTCCCAGCGGCTCAGGGCTGTACAGTTATTTATGTTTTACCCAAACACGAGCCTATTATTCCAGTCCTTGCGGCGACAGGACTTTCAGATTTCTCCCGTGCCAAGTTCCAGACCCTGTATTCACGAGGTGCATAAACTCATCCCCCCTCGCCAGCAAGTTCGGCGATACCTCCCCGGCGTGTTAAGGTGCCCTCCGGCTAGCTGTGCTATCATCGTAAACCGAAGTTAACTTCTTCTGAAAAAAAAAAAAAAATGGAACCGAGGAAGAGGTTTATTTTAAATTTTAAATCCGGCGGGATGAGCAGGTTATACTGTGTCCCCCGAAAGCTGTGAGGCCAAACCAAAAGCAACAAAGAGGGTGACTCGTTTTGAAGACTGCTCAGCTACAAAACAGGGGGAAAAAAAAAAAAAAATGGAACCGGGGAAGGGGTTTTTTTTAAATTTTAAATCCGGCGGGATGAGCAGGTTATACTGTGTCCCCCGAAAGCTGTGAGGCCAAACCAAAAGCAACAAAGAGGGTGACTCGTTTTGAAGACTGCTCAGCTACAAAACAGGGGGGAAAAAAAAAAAAAAAAATGGAACCGAGGAAGAGGTTTATTTTAAATTTTAAATCCGGCGGGATGAGCAGGTTATACTGTGTCCCCCGAAAGCTGTGAGGCCAAACCAAAAGCAACAAAGAGGGTGACTCGTTTTGAAGACTGCTCAGCTACAAAACAGGGGGGAAAAAAAAAAAAAAAATGGAACCGGGGAAGGGGTTTTTTTTAAATTTTAAATCCGGCGGGATGAGCAGGTTATACTGTGTCCCCCGAAAGCTGTGAGGCCAAACCAAAAGCAACAAAGAGGGTGACTCGTTTTGAAGACTGCTCAGCTACAAAACAGGGGGGAAAAAAAAAAAAAATGGAACCGAGGAAGAGGTTTATTTTAAATTTTAAATCCGGCGGGATGAGCAGGTTATACTGTGTCCCCCGAAAGCTGTGAGGCCAAACCAAAAGCAACAAAGAGGGTGACTCGTTTTGAAGACTGCTCAGCTACAAAACAGGGGGGAAAAAAAAAAAAAAATGGAACCGGGGAAGAGGTTTATTTTAAATTTTAAATCCGGCGGGATGAGCAGGTTATACTGTGTCCCCCGAAAGCTGTGAGGCCAAACCAAAAGCAACAAAGAGGGTGACTCGTTTTGAAGACTGCTCAGCTACAAAACAGGGGGAAAAAAAAAAAAAATGGAACCGAGGAAGAGGTTTATTTTAAATTTTAAATCCGGCGGGATGAGCAGGTTATACTGTGTCCCCCGAAAGCTGTGAGGCCAAACCAAAAGCAACAAAGAGGGTGACTCGTTTTGAAGACTGCTCAGCTACAAAACAGGGGGAAAAAAAAAAAAAAATGGAACCGAGGAAGAGGTTTATTTTAAATTTTAAATCCGGCGGGATGAGCAGGTTATACTGTGTCCCCCGAAAGCTGTGAGGCCAAACCAAAAGCAACAAAGAGGGTGACTCGTTTTGAAGACTGCTCAGCTACAAAACAGGGGGAAAAAAAAAAAAAACAAAAAACCCCTTAAAACGTCCCTCCGTCACCGCCTCGCTGCTGGACAGAGCGATCCGCCGCTCCAGAGAGGGCTCCGGGTACAGCACGCTGCCCGGGAGGCAGCAGGAACCGGGAGGCTGCCACGAGACCCGCTGCAGACACACGAGCATCCTCGTACCCGAGAGCCGCGACCGCCTTTTGTCGTGGGAGGCGCTGAGCCCACCCTCGCCCTCCCCTCGCTGCTCAGATTCACCCCAAACAAACCGAAAGCGATTCCAGGCAGTCATTTTTATCTTGGCGTGCAAGCGATAAAAAGGGGGCTGTGGATCTACCCCTGCCAGCCGCCTCCGCACAAAAGGCGGAACCCAAAGGAGACCTGGTCCGGGCACCAGGCAGAAGAGCTTCTCTAGAGCCCTCCGCTCTGGTGGCTTCGCCAAGGAGACGCGCCTAAACCCGAGGCAAAAGAAAACTGCTCCTGACCCTGCAGTCCCCCGGGATGCTCGCAGGGCTCCGGCTGCTGCCGGTGAAGCTGAGCAAAGGCTGCCGTACTTGTGAATTTGGCAAGCCGAGAAGTAAAAGGCGAAGGATTACCAGTGTCAGAAACAATAATCCTTTCAACTGCGCGCGCAATTACAGCTTTACTTCTGCCTGCCGGCCTCCCAACAAAATTGTTCTGCCTTCCTCCCCCCCCCCCCCCCCCCCTCCCTTCATGTCTCAGTAATGAGAGCCAAACCTTTTAGCTAATTAGCAAATGCCGAAGCTTCCCTTTAAAATATTCCATCAGCAAATTTAAGCTGCACATCAAAACAGCGGGGAACTCCACCTCAAACAGAGCTCAGCTCTGCTCTCCACAAGGAGAATATTTCCACAGCAGAGAAAACATTTCAGCTAAAATGTTTGTCCAAATAACCATATCCAAAAAAGCTGTTATGCCAAGCGCTTTGGGCACTGAAAAGGGAAGGAGGAAAAATAAAGGCGCCTTCAGATTTGTAAAGGTCACTTTTGCATGCTCGGAGCTTCCAGGCGGTAGCACGGGCAGCAGAAGTCGCAGGGTTTTGTGGTTTTTGTTTTTTTTTTTTTCCCTCCAGGAGTCCCTGGGAATCGGAGACGCCGCGCGTCGCGCGTCCCAGCGTGGCGTGATGGCCCCGGGTAGATCCCGGCCGTCCGACCAGGATTCCTTGCATAGTCAAAAAGCAGGCAGCTCGTTAGGGGTGATCCGCAGAGAGACTTCGCCCGGCCGGTGTCTCAGTCCCCAGGGCTCCTTTTAAAACCTAAGATTTCCCGGGCCAAGCCCGATTTTGTTGTAGCAAGTGAGCGCACTCAGGATTTTAAGCTCCTGCTGCAGGCTGAGCCTGTACCGAGGGCAACTGAGGGCCGAGCGAGGTGACCACGAAGCGAATTGCAAACACGTGGCAGGAGGGGCGAGCAGGAAAGGAGAGAAAGGGCTCGCGGGCTTCCAGCAGGACAGTTTGGGGAGAAAAGAGCAAATATATCCCCAAGCTGAAGCGCTCCGAGATCACCTTAACCACGCGAAGTGGGACAGGGAAGGAAGAGTTGTTTTGGTGACCTGTTTCTTCCTTAGTGGCAACCTCCCCTTTTATCAGAAACAGGAATTGGTCGTGTCCAGCAGGAGGAACACAAACCCTCAGATATTTAAAAAAAAAAAGTAAACAAATGAACGAGTCAGGAGATCAAAAGCCCCATTATCATGGGAGAAAAGATGATGGTTTTCTGTCGCTGCCGTGGTCAGAGCCCAGTCTATTTTCAAACAGAATAGCCATTTGTTTCCCTCCCTGACTCGCTGAGCCAACAGACATGAGTTTTGTAAGGCCACGCTCCCGAACTAGCCAGGAGGGGTAGAAACAGTCAAGTTCAGACTCTCTTAAGCTCCTGCCCAACCCCAGTAACGAGGGAGGCAACATCCCTGGCACGAATCCTTTCGATTCTTTGGCAGAGGCTGCCTTACAAGCGAGGCAACACGCTCGCTCGGCTGGATCTTGCACGGGAGCGGCTCCAGCTTCTCCCAGACACACACAGTCCCGGGTTTAAAGCCGAGAAGCAAGAGCCGTTCCTTGCGCAGGAGGTGAAATTTAAAGGCAGGGACCCCGCTCGCCCCTCTCCGAGCTGAAAAACAAACAGGATCGTTACCTCGTCCGGCACCTCCGACGCCACGGCCCTTCTGTTGCTTCTGCTGTTGCATCCCGCCACGGCCTCTGCCCTTGGACACCACCTCTTCTTTCACCATGTCAATTATTTCATCGGGGATACGCAGGTATTTAATCGTGCTGCCGCGAATGTAGCACTCCGGCATTCTCCAGAACTTGTCTCCATCCTATTAGGGAGCAACGCGTTAGGCTACGAACGAAACCCCGGTGCTTTCGTATCACTTTTGGGGGCATTTGAATATTTCCGTCACTTCTGGAGAGCGTGAGAGCTCCGTCAACCTTTTCCGAAAGCGTTATCTGTAACTGGCTGCAAAAAAGGGTGGGTTTTTCCTCCAAAACACGTAGCCCTACAACCTGGGGGGGGGGGGGCGGGCCACGGGATGACACAGGCACTCGGCCACGAACAAATGTAATTTCAATTTGTTCCACAACTGCCTCTAACCCTCGCAGAAAATGAAGGAAGAAGAGGCTGAGGAAACAAGCGCCTTCCCTTCCCGTATAAGAAGGGAATCGAAAGCGGGACTAAGAGAGGCAAGGGTGGTAAGTTACACGCCACGGCTACGAACAGCCAACTCTGGCAAGAAGGCGGCAGCTGCAGCAAAGGCGCGTGCGCGCGGCCGGGTTCCTTCTCCAGCGGCCTCGGCTGGGAGTCGCCTCACTCCTTCACTCCTCCGGGGTGTGGATGGAGCAGTGAGGCAGGTCCGGAGCCAGCCGGCTGCGGGGCGTGTGCCACCAGAGCTGTGGAAAATAAGGAGCTTACAGATTTTTTTTTTTTATAGATATACACACACACACACACAAAAAAAGAAAGAAAGCTTCGGGTGCCCAGTTATGGAGCTGCCATCTATTTTGTTCGTTAGTTGTTTAATGTTTCAGGGCTTTTCTAGGACGCAACCTATCGGGGCTTCGCCTCCCGCGTATCGAGGGCGGCTGTGGGAATAGGAATCGAGCGTCGAAGCTGAACAACAACTCAGCTGCCCATGATGTAACTGGGAGGAGGGACGGGGACCCGCCTCGCCCCGCTCCGCCACCGCAGCCCCGGCTCGGCGGCGGCTCCGTCAGGGTTTGGCTGCGGATGGGATCGCTCGAGCCCAGCGATTCTCAAGCGGCAGCATGCGGACGAGGCGTCTGTAACGTCCCAGAAGAGTGGGTTAAACAAGAACGCCTCGTTCCTCCTCTCCTGGGATAAAATACTCGGCTCGTCCCGTCCCCCGTCCCCCCCGTCCTCCCCCCGGAGTTATTTGGGGCAACTCTGCCTGTCCAGGCAAGTCCTCCACGCACAAGACAAGACAGAGAAACAGCCCTCTTCCAAAAGACACCCAGCAAACCCCACCCTGCCTTGGATCTGCTTGGCTGCTCCTTGGCTCGGGATGCAGGAAGGGATGGAGCCAGGCTCCCCTCGCTTCCTCGTTCCGGCCTCCCCCGGAGTAAACAACCGCCTCCCGGGGGCCGGGGCTGCCCGTCCGCCGCCGTTCCGTGCCATCTAGCGGCCAGTCGCCACCGGTGCCACCAGTACAGCCCCGGCAAGCGGCCCCGTCTCCCCCTTCCCCTGGAGGCGTTTTAAAGGCAGAGGCCCGGCTGACGAGCCTGGCTGCTTCGCTGCGTGACAGCATCCCTCCAGATCACTCGGAGGGAATAAAACCCGAGCGCAGCAGAGCGCCGAGCCGTAGGAAGCGACTTCCCGAGGAGAAGGACAGTATCACCCGCGTCGCGGGCAGGGATAAGGCTTTGCCGTCTGCTACCTCCTCTTAGTCCCCCTCCCGCTAAATTCGACAGCGGTTCCTCCCCGTTTGTCCCGCCAGAAGCCAAGGTGCGCCCACAAATTTCTAAGCCCCCGCTGCTCCGCCCCGAAGGTCCCTCTCAAACCTCGCTCGGGATGTTTACTCTGTCCCATCGCCGTGAAAACGTGCCTCCGTGCCCCAGCAACATCGCTCAAAACCTTCCTGCTGTGGAGACAACAGCTACCGGGGGCAGGGGGGGGGGTTTGCAGAGAGATTTTTGGAAGAACGAGGATCTCTGCCGGTCTCTCCCGCGGAGCTCTGATGTTCTGGGGCAGGGAAAGAGCAGCAACAGCAGACATCCATCCGGCTGCCGCTTCCCACAGCGCAGGGCCGGTAGGGACAAGACGGGGCATTTCTGACTGAGGTCAAAGCCCAAAACACAGATCACAATCTTCCCGAGCACCTTTGGCCGAGGGCAAAAGTACCAGACAGCGCAGAGCCCCCGGCGCGAGTAAACAACAGGCTCCTCCGGTTTGATGTGGAGAGTTAAGAGGGCGAGAGACAAGAAAGTTAATAAAAGCCGGCGCAGCGTTTGAAGCAGACCTCGCTTCCCGGACGGCACGCGACAGGCGAAGGCTCCGTTCTTGGGAAAGCCAGCTCAGCACCGCGGCACGGGCTATCGCGCCTCGTCCTGCGGCCCCCCAGCCCCGCACCGAGAACCCTCTCACGGGGGGGGGGGGGGAAACGTTCGCGCGGCGCGGAAAGCCACCCCGCTCGAGCGTGCAGGCGGGTGCCTGCCTTCCTTATAGCTACTATAAATAACTGTATGGAATTTGCGTTTCAGGCAGAAGTCACGCTTCCACGGGAGCGATGGCCTCTGAGCTACAGCAGAGCCGGCCCGGCAGCCTCAGGGCTGCTCCCCGA